TACATTGGTACAGATAGCAACTGGAAACACAGGGAACCCAGGATAGATGACTCCTTCAGGACCAGTGGTGAGAGGGGCGAGGCCTGGAGGGTGAAGGGAATGTAGGGTAGAAGGGGGAACCAATTACAAGAATCTAAGTATAGCCTCCTCCCTGGGGGATGGACAGCAGAGAAGAGGGCAGAGGGGGACGTCAGACAGTGTAACTTATGACAAAACTATAATAATTTATAAATTATGAAGGGTTCATAAGGGAGGGGGGAGGGAAGGGGAAATTGAGCAAATGATATTAAGGGCTAAAGTAGATGGCAAATGTTTTGAGATTGATAAGGGCAACAAATATACATATGTGCTTGACTCAATGGATGGATGTATGGACTGTGATATGAATTGTACGAGCCCTCAATAAAATTTTTTTTTTTTAAATCAGGTGCCTTGGCTGATATTCGGGTCGGCTTATACTCGAGTATATACAGTAAACATCTTTCTGGCATTCTCTGCCAAGATCCATCTGATGTCAGCAATGATATCTTGCCAGGACCTCTTCTGAATCTGGTTGGAATTTCTGTCAATGTAGTACTCCAACTGTTGTTAAAAAATCTTCATGAAAATGTTGCTGGTATGTGCTATACATTATATTGTTAGGTAAATTACACCTTATGTTGGGTCATCTTTCTTTGCAACGGGCACAAATATAGCTCTCTGTTAGTCAGTTGGCCAAGTCCCTGTCCTCCAGGTTTCTTGTCATAGGCCAGTAAGTGCTGCTAGCGTTTCATCAGGTTGTTGAAACATTTCAATTGATATCCCTGGAGCCTCGTTTTTCACTAAGACCTTCAGTGAGGCCAAGAATTCTTCCTTCAGCACCATCGATTCTTGCTCATGTGCTACCTCTTGAAATGGAGGGAGGTTGAACAGTTCTTCTTCATGGAGTGACTCTGTGGACTACTTGTTTCCAGCATTGTTCAACGTGCTGCCCTAGGATCTTAGAATACTGAGACTCAGGCCTTGAATTTTTTCTTAATTTCTTTCTTTTTTTAATCGTTTTATTGAGGCTCTTACAGCTCTTATCACGATCCATACATACATCCACTGTGTCAAGCACATTTGTACAAATGTTGCCATTATCATTTCAAAACATTTCCTTTCTACTTGAGCCCTTGGTATCAACTCATTTCTCCCCTTCCCCCATACTCTCTCCCTCATGAACCTTTGATATTTTATAAATTATTCTTTTTTCCATGTCTTACACCAACCACTGTGTCCCTTCACCCACTTTTCTGTTGTTCATCCCCCAGGGAAGGGGTTATATGTAGATCATTGTGATCGGTTCCCCCTTTCTCCCCCCACCTTACCCTTACCCTCCTGGTATGGCTACTCTCGTTATTGGTCGTGAGGGGTTTATCCGTCATGAATCCCCCGTGTTTCCAGCTCTTACCTGTGTACGTGCTCTGGTCTAGCGGATTTGTAAGGTAGGATTGGGGTAATAAGAGTGCTTGACAACCGCCAAGCGAGTTCTTCCTTTTCGGTTTTCTAACTCCAAGACTTTGCACACTTCATGACAACACTTGGCTCTGTCTTCTTGAGCTGCCCTCTGAAATGTTCTGTCCAGTTCTCCTACCTCATCATGCCTTTCATTTGTTTTAGCAAACACATCCGAGTGAAGTTCCTTCCTTCATGGAGCTGACACCGTTAAGTCAATTCTAGGTTAATCTGTAATTTCAGTGCAAACTTAATCAAAATCCTAACAAATTCTTTAAACCACAAAATTCTAATATGTATGCCAAATAAATACATGAATTCAAGTATCCAGAAAAGTCCTGGGGGAGAAAAAGTGCTTTTCTCACAGAGATCAGATTTATCACAGACAGGATCAACGAAACAGAACTGAGAGTCTCAAAACAGATGTGTCAATGCTGAGCTAAAAATATGTTTTTAAAGATTCATTATAAATCGTTGGGAAAGAATATACTACTCTATACATAGTGGGGTAACAATCAATATGTCAAAATATAAAAATAGATTCCTATAGTTCATACCTTGAAAAATGAAAATATAGATGAATATTCACACCTAAAGTATTAACACACAATAGTACACATACTTTTTAAAAAACCATTAAAACCAATCTTTATGATTTCACATGGGGAAGTAAGTTCTGAAACAAGATACAGAAAGCACAATTTAAGAGAGAAGACTTTTATAAAACAAACCACATCTACATTTCAGGATTTTACACAACCAAATAATTCGTAAAGTAAAAAGACAAACCATAGACTGTAAGAAAATATTGGGAAGTACAGAGTGGATACCCAAAGCCCATCTGTAGACAATTGGACATCCCCCTAAAGAAAGGTCACAAGGAAGAGGCGAGCCAGTCGGGGTGCCGTATAGCACCGATAAAACATACATACAACTTTCCTCTGGTTCTTTAATGCTTCCCCACCACCACCACTATCATGATCTCAAGTCTACCTGACAAATCCAGCTAGACCAGAGCATGTACATGGATACAGATATGAGCCTGCAACAAAAGGAATCCAGGACAGATAAACTCCTCAGGACCAATAATGACAATAGCGATACCAGGAGGGGAAGGAGAAGGTGGGGGTTGAAAGTGGGAACTGATCACAATGATCCACATATGACCCCCTCCCTGAGAGATGGACAACAGAAAAGTGGGTGAAGGGAGACATCGTCCCTCCACATTCCTTAGCCCTCAAACCTAAACAGGGGTCTGGTGGCTTAGAGAGAAAAGAAGGAAAAGAAACTGAAATGGCCTTGGAGTCTTGTGACAAACAAGTTCACTTCAAACAATAACAACACACACACACACACACACACACAGGGAGACATCGCTCAGTGTAAGACATGAAAAATTAATTATTATTACAAATTATCAAGGGTTCATGAGGAAGGGAGGCAAGGTGGAGGACGGAGGAGAAAAAATGAGAAGCTGATACTAAGGGATCAAATGTAGAAAGAAAATGTTTTGAAAACGATGATGGCAACAAATGTACGAACGTGTTTGACACAATGGATGCATGTATGGATTGTGATAAGAGCTGTCTGAGCCCCCAATAAAATGGTTTACAATAGAGGGAGAGTGGGGAGGAAAAAGGGAACCGCTTACAAGGAACTATATGTGACCTCCTCCCTGGGGGAAAGACAACCGAAAAGTGGGTGAAGGGAGCCGTCGGACAGGGTAAGATATGACAAAATAATAATTTATAAATTATCAAGAGCTCATGAGGAAGAGGGGAGTGGGGAGGGAGGGGAAAAATGAGGACCTAATGCCGGGGGCTTAAGTGGAGAGCAAATGTTTTGAGAATGATGAGGGCAATGAATGTACAAATGTGCTTGACACAATTGATGTATGTATGGATTGTGATAAGAGTTGTATGAGCCCCTAATAAAATGATGTTTTTAAATGGTTTACAAAAAAAAAAGAAAAGATGTGCAAAACGTGCCATGGACAAAAGTTTGTCTCCAGAATGTACAAGGAGCCCCTCAAACGGGTAGGGTGAACAAAACATAAATAAATGGCCCAAAAGTATAAATAAGCAAAAAAGAGAAGAGAAACAAAACGGCCAATAAACAGAGAGGTGTAGCCCTGGTGGAAGGAAGTTTAGGTGCTACTCTGTAACCAGTAGATTGACAAAAACCAACAGTCTGACTGTGCCAAGAGTTGAGGAGAGTGTCAGAAAACAGGCATTCACCATCAATGCAGACGGCACTGTAAGTTGGTGCAACCGCCCAGGACAGCCATTGGGTTAAACTTGGTAAAGCTGAAGACAAACATAGTGGTGAGCCAAAAAGTGCACATCTAGACAAACTTACCCACGTGCCTCTAGAAGCAATGTATAAAGATATTCACTGTTGTCTTCTTTGTGGCCACAAAAAAAGGAAAAGGAAAATTGGAAACAATCTACGTGTTCATCAGTGGAACAGATGAACAGTGGAACAGAGCAGTAAGTCAAAAGGCACGCAGAGGGTGGAATACCAAGCAACTATTGAAATGCATTAAGTACATCCAGATGCATTTCAACGTGAGGAGATTTCACAAGCAAGGTTCAGGAGGAAAACTCTATGCAAAGTTACGAGTCTGCAATATGTACCTATATTTTTAAAACAGATAAGGTGTTATTTCTTGGTGCTCATGAAAACACACATGTAAGTAAAATATAATGACATACACAGGAACGGGGGAGAAAAAATCCACAAGAGCGGTAACCTCTGGGGAGGGAGGGAAACACGACTGAAAATGTCAAGAAAATACTTTCGTCTCTGTATAAACTTGACAAAGAGAGTTAACGCTTTTTATTTCTGACTTCTGAGACCATGTTTTTTTTTCTAGCCTTGTTTTCTGTACTTTTAGACCTGAAAACTCTTTCTTTCAATCAGCATTTTTAACAACTGCAAACAGATGTTTACAGCAAGGGAAAAAAAATCTGTGCATTTCTGTTACAGTGCTGTGTGGTCCCCATCATCACTGATGGTTAGACGTCATGCGGCGGAGGCACACCTGCACGTGGTCAACGCCATCACCACATTACGACGAGGCTACGGGTCAGACATCAAGGCTAGTTCTCCAGCAGCGTTTCTCTCACCTCTCGCACGTGTCTTTTCAGGTGCATGTACACACTCTGTCCAGTTTTTCGAAAGTGTCTTTCAACATGTTCCCGTCCAAAGGCCAGAAATGTATTCATGCATACATAGAGTCCTCCTTCAGAGTTCTAGAAGAAAAAGACATGTTACAATATTAGCCAAGGACCAAACTCACTGCCATGAAGTCGATTCCAACTGACAGGGACACTGTTGGACAAAACAGAACTGCCCCTTTGTGTTTCTGAGACGTAACTCTTTAGGGGAGTAGAAGCCTCATCTTTCTCCTGCAGCATGGGTAGCGGTTTTAAACTGCTGACATTGTGATTAGTAAGCCCAACACATAATCTAGGCTCTGGACTCCTGGCCGCAACATCTAGTTATAGAAAAGGGAAAGAGGAGGAAAAGCAGACAATGGAGACAGTGTCTGGCAGAGGCCTGCTACTGGGCCACCGTGGTCACTGCAATGGCCCTCCAGTGGCTTCATAGCCACCCACAGCAACCACAGCATGGGTGCAAAATGTGTCTGGTACCGTAGCATGCATATCACAATTAGACCAGAAAGGGGAGAAAAAGATAAAAATGGACTAAATAAATGTGATTGCTAAGAGTCTATCTCAACTAGACACTCTTGGGTGAAGGTCTGGGTGGGGCACAATCCATGAATCGGTTACAGCTCTTTGATATCTCCTTGGGGTGTGGCCTTAATACAAGGGAAAGATCCTAAGAAGAGCCAAGTCAACTGGACATCCCCTTACAGAAGGGTCTCTGGGAGGAGACAAGCCAGTCAGGGTGCAGGGTAGCAACGATGAAACATATAACTTTCCTCTAGTTCCTAAATCCTTCCTCCCCCAGCCCCCTCACTATCATGATCCCAATTCTACCTTATAAATCCAGCTAGACCAGAAGATGTACACTGGTACACACAGGAAATGGAAACACAGAGAACCCAGGACAGATGATCCCCTCAGGACTAGTGCTGAGAGTGGCGATACCGGGAGGGTAGAGTAGAAAGGGGGAACCA